CATTGCATGAGCTCAAGGTCATTCATCACTCATATTTCAAAAGCATGCATCCTTAAAAGAAAAGTCAAGACAAATGGTTTCATATGTACAATATTGGTTTGGAAGAAGTACCTACGTGATACAAACTTTTCTAGATAATTTCCATAACCAATAACATGCAGTACAAGTCATAAAAACCATTTGGAAAGAAAAGAAACTCAGAATTCGTACAAAAAGGATGCTGCCATGAAATATCCAGATATTTCAGTTTGAATATCCGGATATTCAATATCCGGATATGGAACCAAAAATATCTGGATATCCAATATCCGGATATGAGCCCGAAGAATATCCGGATATATACGGATTACAACGGCTATAAACGGCTAGAAACAGCTAGTTTTCATAGGAGGTGTCATTATAAATACCCACATCAACTGGGATGAACAGTACACGACCCTAGATCATTTATTGAAGCTTTATTACTCTTGCTAGCCTATTATTGCTCATTAATTACTTACTTTGATCATTGCATACACTTGAGCTCATCTTTCCTTTGAAGTTATACATCTCTTAGTTCTTCAATTTGTTTAATCTGTACTTTGAGAGTACTTAGCCACTTCTAATCACCTCAATCTTACTTCTTGATTTGAGAGGGGAGAGAACCCTATACTTGAGAGGTTACCAAATTCCTAAGTAAATTTGGAGTGAAAAATTGTGAGGCATCAAGAGCCCGAAGTCTTGAAAGGTTGTAGAGGTTTGTCAAGCACCCTCAAGCTTGATAGTTAGTGAAAAGAATTGATCGAGCGGCTTCAGTCTGTACGTAGGTCACGGTGGTAGTGACCGAACCAGGATACATCTAGTTTGCAATTTCTCTAACATTTACCTCTTTACTTTATTATTGAAATTGCATCTTTGTATTGTCTTTATCCATTCGCATGCTTACTTTGTTAATCTCTACACTTGATCTCACACTTAGATTTTTCCTCATTAAATCACTTTATTGAAGAAATAGTCTTTAAAATATCAAAGAAGGCACTTTGCGAAAAGATTTTGTAAAACTCAATTCACCCTCCCCCCCTTGAGTATTGAAGCCATTTGTCCAACATTTATATCATTAGATTAGCTCTCTAACTCATATTTGCTAGATTGAAGCTATTCTACAGACTGTTACTGCATCAGTAGTAAAAAACAACAGCTAAAAACTCAACTGTTCAGAATACCCCCAATATGGGTATCAAACTTCATCAATCTTATGCTTACATCATTTATGATATTCATATCATTAGGATAGCTCTCTAACTTAAGTTCACCGTACTAGAGCTATTTTACAGTCTATTACTGCGTCAGCAGTCAAAAACAGCAGATGAAAATTCACCTGACTGAAATACTCTCAATATGGGTATCCAAATTCTTAAAATTTCATTCTCATTCTATTTATAACCATAAGGTCCTCATCATAACCCTCTAATTTAAAAATCATGTAATTAGGGTTATTTTATTCAGCATGCTGAATAAATGATAAATTTTCATTCTTCCACGGATAATAATAATCGACATTAAGAAACAGTCACTAAGGGTTTGTTTGATTGTGTTCTTGTTTTTTTGTTCTTAAAACAATTTTCTAGAATTGTTTATAAGAACCATTTTTCAGAATAAAAGAAGGAAAAAAATCGTTTGATAAAATTGTTATTAAAAGAGTTTTAAAACTTAAAAAACAGAAATATTTATTGGGAATTTTGTTTTGAAAACATAATTTTAAAGTTAAAAAATTGAAAACTCGTTTGGTTACTATTTTTTTAACCATATGTAAAATTTTAAACATTTTAATAAAATAATTTTTAACCTCATACTAAATCACATTATAATTACGGGGTTTGTATTTGTCATTTAACATGACACAACAAACTTTCCTACACGCACAACATTTTGTGGGGCCCACACTTTTTGAAGAAAAAAGAAAAAAAAGAAATTACGGCACGCAAAATGAATCTCTATAACATTACACAATCACTTTTCCTACAATATAACTCTTATAAAACCCTATAATTAATTTTTTAAGATTAAAGTAAATCACGTTGCAAACTAATGAAAACAAAATAAAAGTTTTAATTGTAAATTATTTTTTTTTTAATCAATTGAAAGTTAATTATCATGCTATTGATTTATTAAACATAAAAATAGAATAAAAATATATGTGTGTGTTTATTATTCACTTTAAGTCATTATTTAAAATAAAAATAGAATGAATTTTTTCCATTCGAAATAACTCAAAAAAAGTGTTCCCGATCCATTGAATACTTCGTTAATAAATTCACGACCTGTTAATGCAGATGTTTGAACCTTGATTTTATTAAAAAAAATTCTGGTTATAATCGCAAACCATATTAAGAATGCATAGCTCAACTAATTGATCATTGCTTGAATCGGACAGAGATTCATCACAACTAGCCAGAAGCATAGTTTTCTAATGAAGTATTAAAAACATCCATTATATGGCAATAGCTTGTCACAAATTCCATAACAAATTCCTTATACATTAGAAGTGGAGGTCCTCCCACGAAGCAAGAGAATTTGGTCAAGCATTTGATGGTGACAATAGGCATACATCAAGAACTCAAATTGATGAAGAAGATGTAAAAATTTGGACAAGCTTTCTCAATCATAAGCTCACTCTATATGAAGAATTTTAACCGCATGATTTGCTCTGTTTTAATAAGAATACATGGACTCATACTATGAAATATGAATTTGCCCATATTATATATATGTTTTACATATAGCTCAATAACAATAAAAAAAAAATCTTCAAGAAATTAATAGGGACCTTCTTCTCTTTTGTGCTCGTGGTCTCAAAACAGCTTTATTACAAAATCCACTATTAAGTGTTATTTCGGTGCTAAGCCAAGTGAGAATATTTAGCAGACAAGTTGTAACCCCACTTCCTTTTATACAATGACAATGGTCAGGAACAAGGGTAGCTTTCATTTTTTCAACTTTCTACTTAATTAGGGAACTCATAACCAATTTTGGTTGAGGCCATTGGTAATCTGATTTAGTCGTCAAAATTCAGGATAGGTTTTAAGCAAGAGCCTGACCAATTTCCATGTCTTGATATGATAAAAAGAAAAGGCATAATTAACAAAAGTCATCTATTTATCTTCACTAAACTTATGGTTTAACAAAAATAAATGCCATAAAAATTGCCTTACCATGTCGGTGGCCCAGTGTTGAGACTTGAGATATATATAGTTAGTTATCTCAAATATAACAAAGCCATAAAATAACCGATTGAAGTTATTAACTGCCAAAATTAAATGCTGCAATCTTATCATTGGCGCTTTCAATTTCATTCTTCTCTGTTTTTTCCTCTGCCAATTAGGGTTCATACCCTGGCTATTAGACCATTTTTTCCCTCATTAATTAATTAATAACAATTTTGCCTCTGATTCAAAACTATTCACCAATCTGCTCCTCTTTAGTCGACTACCTTGCATTTTTAATCGATTAAATGGTTGTTGGGAGATTTAATCGACTAAATCTCCCTACTTAATCGATTAAAAAATCATACTGACTTGTTTCCCTTTGTTGCATGTTGGGAGATTTAATCGATTAAATAGGGAGATTTAGTCGATTAAATCTCCCAACAGCCATTTTTGTCTGTTTTGACCATTTAATCGATTAAAAATTCAAGGCAGTCGATTAAAGAGGGGCAGATTGGTAGATAGTTTCGAATCAAGGGCAAAATAGTTATTAATTAATTAATGAGGGACAAAAAGGTGAAAAAGCCTTCATACACTATCATTGGCGCTTTCATTCCCTTTTCTCTGCATTACCATCACTCAAACACACAAAACACTTCCAAAATCATATCCTGTTGATTCGAATGAAAAGTTGATGGACATATATAAAACTCTTCTCAATTTGTTTTGATGTAAACCGCCTCCACTATTTATTATAACAGATAATTGAATGATTTCATTATTATTGATATTAATTATAATGACAATAACAGAAAGTTGATTGGCTCCATTAATATTAATAATGAAAAATTTATTGGCTCTATTGTTTAATAGAAATAAGGACAAATCAATTAACTCAATTATGGTTGACTAGAGTAATGCACGTAACTTTCCTCTAATTTGTGTAAATTTATAAGGATGACATAAAATTTAAAAGGGAAACAAGAGGCTATAAAAAAAAAAAAGGGAAACAAGAGATTGTTACTCAATGTAATTAAGATCGAGATATTACTTGATATCGGTAAAGGGGAAAAAGGCATGTAAATCTTGGAATTGTAATATGTATCCTAACTAACATATTATTTAAAATACAAAATTATAATCAAATATATATATATATATATATATATATATATATATATATATATATATATGTATGTGTGTGTAAAATAACCGATTGAAGTTATTAACTGCCAAAAATAAATGCAGCAATCCTATTGGAATTTTTTTTTTAATATTTTCAATTCCATAATTTAGAAGAGAATCTTTAGAAGAGAATCTAAAGGAAAACATTAGAGGTAATTAAGATTGAGAAATAAAAAGATAAATTTAAAATATTTTATTTCAATAAATTTTTATTATCATAATTCAATATTTAACGAACACTTTTATAATATAGCCAAAGATAAATATAAATAAAAGTTTTAAAAATACAATAATTAAAAATTTTAATTCATGATTCAAATACAAAAAAATTAATTCACAGTTCATTCGCTACGGTGTGAAGTAGTTAGTATGGAATGAATGATAACATATTTTTTTCTCATGTGAGATTCATATTTATTTGAGATAGGTTATATTATCTATCAAAAGATATCCTCCAAAATTAAAAGATATAATTTGAGAATTAAAAAGGAAAAGGAAAAAAAATAAGGAGATTTAGCGAGGGGTAATAAAAGGAACATCGTCCTCTGTTTGTCCGAAAAATCGTCCAAAAGGTTTCCTTTTCTTTGTCTTTTCTTTCTTTCTTTCTTTCTTTTCTTTGTCTTTTCCATCTCAATGGATTCTTCCTCTGTAAGAAAGCCAAACGTACGAAAGGGAAAGGTTGAGATCAAGAAAGTGCAAGAAAAAAGCAAGCGATATGTGACCTTCTCAAAACGCAAACAAGGGCTTTTCAACAAAGTCACTGAGCTATCTCTTCTTTGCCAAGCTGAAACTGCTTTGATCATCAATTCTCAGAAAGGAAATTTCTATGCCTGCGGCTATCCTGATCCGGACTCTGTCATCCACCGCTACCACAGCGGCAGCGAAGGAGGAGGGTATCACAACCATGCTGCTAAAAGGAGGTTCCAAGAGGGAGTTGAAACCTTAAGGCTAAAATATGAGACAACTGAATTTAAGTTAAAAGAGGAGAATATGCATCAAGAAGAGATCACTGAGGCAAAAAAGAATGGTTTGTTATTCACTGAATGGTGGGATCGCTCCATTGAGGATATGAGTTTTGAACAAGTTGAGGAATTTAAGAATTGCATAGAAGATTTGAAGATGAAACTTGTTGCTGCAAGGGGAAAGAAGAAGAAGAAGAAGGTTGATAATTCACTTCCACCATTACCAGTTGCATCATCACCGATGCAAAGTTTATCAGATATTTCTTTCTTGAACGAGGGTTTTGATGGGTATGGTGCATGGAACTGTGGTGATTTTAGCCATTATTAATTAGGGCATGCATGACTATAGGTAGCAGTTATTAATCAGGACTTGTTTCTTTTCTTGTGAATTATTTTTCATCTTTTTTGCTTGACTTTTGGGTTTGAGGGATTTCGTTCTTGACAGATAATATCTCTGTTCATGTGACCGTGCAATTAAACCCGTGCGAATATTGTGTTCTTATAATCTTTCAGTTATTGATGTGAATTGCACAAAAAAAGAGTTACTGATCCGAATGAGGACGAAAACAGCGTCACCGACATTCCAACGCTTTTAATTATATGTACAATTAATCGCTTGAAGGGAAACTTTCATCGTACATGTTGCAAAAGTAGTATTTTTGTATGGTGTTGCAAAAGAAGTATTTGTTATAACGGTATTTCATACTCAACTGAACAAAGCCGTATTCAGTGTTTTGGCATTTTTTGTTTTTTGGGACTTTGAATAAACTTGGAAAATCTTGGTGTGGTTTCAATTTATTATGTTTGGTTTAATTTATTTTAAAACAAAAAAAGTAGTTTCTTATAAAAACTTTTGAAAAAAAATTTACTTCTCTTAGAAAATTTTTTTATTATGTTACGGCATTTACAGCTGAACGCAGGGGTGTGGTTATTGGCTTACAAATGGCTTGGAATTTGAGGTATAGAAGATTAATTTTGGGGTGTGACAATCATTTTTTAATACACAGATTGAAGAAGGCTGATCATGATACATAAGTTGAATCTCAATCCTGACTTATGCTCTGTCCTTACTATCAAGAGATCGAAAGATTTGTACACTTGAGCTATGTGTATTGGGAGGACAATGTTTGTGTCGACTGAATTTAGAAACGCGATTTATTCACACATCTCCTTACTATTTTTACAATCTCTGATGTAATCTAAGGTTGGAAATTTCAACTAGTTGGTGGTTGGGTTTTTTTTTTTTTTTCATTTTTTTTTTTGCCCTTATACCCTTTGCTTTAGAAAAATAAAAGCAAATAATTTTTTTTCTAACATTCTATATATTAGGTAAAGTAAATTTTTCATTCTTAGATTTGGAGCACACTGGAAAGCGACTGGAGCTAGCCTAGTGATTAGGGGATGAATAGTGGATAATAGGTGCTATGAATAGTGGATAATGGGTGAATTAAGTGTTTGTTGTCATTGATTTATAGGTATTTGAATTTGGGAGCTTTTTGTTTTAGTTGTTGTAAGTAAATATATGTAATGGATAATTTATTTTTAAATGTTAGATTTGAATTATTTGAAGGTTTATTTTTTTAAATAACAATTGCTATCATTTTCGTCTACAACTAAAATAGATGTCACAATTCCAAATAAATGTGAATAATAAGAATTATAAATCATTTTAAGAAATTTATAACAGTGACAAAAAATTTGGTAACTATTTTTAAAATAATAGTGACAAATAATTTGTCATTAAAGTTATTATTATAATGTGATGATTAAATCATCACTGATGTTGTAAATATCTGTGACAAATTATTTGCGTCATTATTATTTACAAATATTCGTGGCATAATTTTTTATCACAATAAATACCTTTTATTGTGTCAACAAAAAATATCGTCACTAATTTAACAGTGACTTTAGCATTAGTAACGAAAGTTGACGAAATAAAATATCGCCACAAAAGTGTTCTTGTGATGATTTTTATATTCTTGAGTGACAATTTTTGTCATCACAGAAAGTGTATTTTTTTGTAGTGAATCAATTAACTCAATTATGGTTGACTAGAGTAATGCACGTAACTTTCCTCTAATTTGTGCAAATTTATAAGGATGACTTAAAATTTAAAAGGGAAACAAGAGGCTATCAAAAAAAAAAAAGGGAAACAAGAGATTGTTACTCAATGTAATTAAGATCAAGATATTACTTGATATCGGTAAAGGGGAAAAAGGCATGTAAATCTTGGAATTGTAATATGTATCCTAACTAACATATTATTTCAAATACAAAATTATAATCAATATATATATATATATATATATATATATATATATATATATAAAATAACCGATTGAAGTTATTAACTGCCAAAAATAAATGCAGCAATCCTATTGGAAAAAAAATTTTAAATATTTTCAATTCCATAATTTAGAAGAGAATCTAAAGGAAAACATTAGAGGTAATTAAGATTGAGAAATAAAAAGATAAATTTAAAATATTTTATTTAAATAAATTTTTATAATCATAATTCAATATTTAACGAACACTTTTATAATATAGCCAAAGATAAATATAAATAAAAATATTAAAAATACAATAATTAAAAATTGTAATTCATGATTCAAACAAAAAAAATTTAATAATCAGTTCATTCGCTACGGTGTGTAGTAGTTAGTATGGAATGAATGATAATATATATTTTTCTCATGTGAGATTCATATTTATTTGAGATAGGTTATATTATCTATCAAAAGATATCCTCCAAAATTAAAAGATATAATTTGAGAATTAAAAAGAAAAAGGAAAAAAAAATAAGGAGATTTAGCGAGGGGTAATAAAAGGGAACATCGTCCTCTGTTTGTCCGAAAAATCGTCCAAAAGGTTTCCTTTTCTTTGTCTTTTCTTTCTTTCTTTTCTTTGTCTTTTCCATCTCAATGGATTCTGCCTCTGTAAGAAAGCCAAACGTACGAAAGGGAAAGGTTGAGATCAAGAAAGTGGAAGAAAAAAGCAAGCGATGTGTGACCTTCTAAAACGCAAACAAGGGTTTTTCAACAAAGTCACTGAGCTATCCCTTCTTTGCCAAGCTGAAACTGCTTTGATCATCAATTCTCAGAAAGGAAAGCTCTATGCATGCGGCTATCCTGATCCGGACTCTGTCATCCACCGCTACCACGGCGGCAGCGGAGGAGGAGGGTATCACAACCATGCTGCTAAAAGGAGGTTCCAAGAGGGTGTTGAAACCTTAAGGCTAAAATACAAGGCAACTGAATCTAAGTTGAAAAAAGAGAATATGCATCAAGAAGAGATCACTGAGGCAAAAAAGAATGGTTTGCTATTCAATGAATGGTGGGGTCTCTCCATTGAGGATATGAGATTTGAACAAGTTGAGGAATTTAAGAATTGCATAGAAGATTTGAAGATGAAACTTGTTGCTGCAAGGGAAAAGAAGAAGAAGAAGGTTGATAATTCACTTCCACCATTACCAATTACATCATCACCGATGCAAAGTTTATCCGATATTTCATTCTTGAATGAGGGTTTCAATGGGTGTGGTGCATGGAACTGTGGTGATTTTAGCCATTATTAATTAGGGCATGCATGGCTATAGGTAGCAATTATTAATCAGGACTTGTTTCTTTTCTTGTGAATTATTGTTCATCTTTTTTGCTTGACTTTTGGGTTTGAGGGATTTCGTTCTTGACAGATAATATCTCTGTTCATGTGACCGTGCAATTAAACCCCTGCGAATATTGTGTTCTTATAATCTTTCAGTTATTGATGTGAATTGCACCGTAGTTATAATTGCGGTCACATGAACAGAGATAGTATCTGTCAAGAACGAAATCCCTCAAACCCAAAAGTCAAGCAAAAAAGATGAACAATAATTCACAAGAAAAGAAACAAGTCCTGAGTAATAACTGTTACCTCTAGCCATGCATGCCCTAATTAATAATGGCTAAAATCACCACAGTTCCATGCACCATACCCATTGAAACCCTCATTCAAGAAAGACATATCTGGTAAACTTTGCATCGGTGATGATGCAACTGGTAATGGTGGAAGTAAATTATCAACCTTCTTCTTCTTCTTTTCCCTTGCAGCAACAAGTTTCATCTTCAAATCTTCTATGCAATTCTTAAATTCCTCAACTTTGTTCAAAACTCATATCCTCAATGGAGAGATCCCACCATTCAGTGAATAGTAAACTATTCTTTTTTGCCTCAGTGATCTTTTCATGATGCATATTCTCTTCTTTCAACTTAGATTCAGTTGCCTCATATTTTAGCCTTAAGGTTTCAACACTCTCTTGGAACCTCCTTTTAGCAGCACGGTTGTGATACCCTCCTCTTCCGCTGCGGTCGTGGTAGCGGTGGATGACAGAGTCAGGATCAGGATAGCCGCAGGCATAGAGCTTTCCTTTCTGAGAATTGATGATCAAAGCAGTTTCAGTTTGGCAAAGAAGGGATAGCTCAGTGACTTTGTTGAAAAGCCCTTGTTTGCGTTTTGAGAAGGTCACACAACGCTTGCTTTTTTCTTCCACTTTCTTGACCTCAACCTTTCCTTTTCGTACGTTTGGCTTTCTCAAAGAGGAAGAATCCATTGAGATGGAAAAGACAAAGAAAAAAAAAGACAAAGAAAAGGAAACCTATTTGGACGATTTTCGGGACAAACAGAGGACGATTTTCCCTTTTATTACCCCTCGCTAAATCTCCCTATTTTTTTTTCCTTTCCCTTTTTAATTCTCAAATTACATATTTTAATTTTGGAGGATATCTTTTGATAGAAAATATAACCTATCTCAAAATAAATATGAATCTCACATGAGAAAAAAATATATTAAATAAATATGAATCTCGCATGAGAAAAAAAATATATTATCATTCATTCCATACTAAATACTACACACCGTAGCGAATGAACTGTAAATTAAATATTTTTTGTTTGAATCATGAATTAAAATTTTTATTTATTGTATTTTTAATACTTTTATTTTTAATTCTTTGGCTATATTATAAAAGTGTTCGTTAAATATTGAATTATGATAATAAAAATTTATTGAAATAAAATATTTTAAATTTATCTTTTTATTTCTCAATCTTAATTACCTCTAATATTCTCGTTTAGATTCTCTTCTAAATTATGTAATTGAAAATATTAAAAAAATTTAAATTCCGATAGGATTGCTGCATATTATTTTTGGCAGTTAATAACTTCAATCGGTTATTATATATATATATATATATATATATATATATATGTATATGTATATTATAGGGAAATGATATATTTACCACCGAAAAGTTTATAACTTTTATAATCAATCTAATCACTGTTGATTTTCGTCAACCTAACAGTTATAATTTATTGGAAATTAATATTTAATTAATAAAAGTAACCCAATAATTTTCAATAAATTATAACTGTTATATCGATGGAAATCAATGGTGATTAAGTTAGTTGTAAAGGTTGTAAACTTTTTTGGTGGTAAGTATATCTTTCCATATATATATATATATATATATATAGGTAGGATCCTTTGACACCTCATCTGAGAGCCATTAGATTAAAAAAGATCAATGGTGTTACATGCTTACAAATCAGAGTCGTTGATCTTTTTTGATCTAACTGCTCTCAGTTAAGGTGTCAAATTACAAATTTGACACTAGTGTCAAAGGATCCTACCTCATATATATATATATATATATATATATATATATATATATATATATATATGGTTAGGATCATTTTACACCAGTGTAAGTTACACTCTTAATCTTGTCCAATGATCCCATTTATATCTAAGGGCTCAAATTTTTTAGTAATATGAGTCATTCCAATGATCCCATTTATATCTAATTCACAGGATATCTCGATTTTTTTTTTGTATAATCTGAAGGTATCTCCATTCAATCTCATCCGGTCACCTTGTCTTTGGAGTACGGCCCCAAAGGCTATCCCCTCATTGGAACAACGGGTGCATTGAGCTCGGAGTACGACCCCGAAAGCTACCCTCTCATTGGAACAGCGGGTGTATTGAGCTTCGCCATCGGAGGAAGGATAAGACTAATCTCCCATTTGAGAAGAAAGACACGTCCTCTGACCCCAAAGATCCAAGAATTTGCTCTGTTACCAACTGAACTACCATCTTGGGGTTTAATATCTCGATTTTAATTACATATATATTTGAGTACAATCTCTTGTTTCCCTTTTACATTTTATGCCATCCTTATAAATTTGCACAAATTAGAGGAATGTCACGTGCATTACTCTAGTCAACCATAATTGAGGTAATTGATTTGTCCTTATTTCTATTAAAAAATAGAGCATATAAATTTTTCGTTATTAATATTAACGGAACCAATCAACTTTCTATTATTGTCATTATAATTAAGGGAAAAATATTTCTGCAGTTACTGCAGATAAGTTATCTGCATTTTTTTTCCAAAATGATGTCATTTTGGTATTGAAATCTTAAAGAATTATAAATATAAAGACTATTATAACCCTGAAATAAATTAAAATTACAAAAATATCATGATTTTCGTCCCAAAACGACATCGTATTGGGACGAAAATCATGATATTTTTGTAATTTTAATAGTTTTTCCAATATGCAGTTTTATTGTTCTTTGTGAAAACTAATTACGTTTCGTAAAATTAAAATGGGTTGCAGTAACAGGAAGTAACTATAAAAGATTAATGTATTCTGGTAATTAGAGCCCGTTTGTTTCACCTTTTACAAAACGTAATTTTTACCTCTTCCTTAGTTTAGAAGTACTTTTTACAAAAGTTAAAGTTATTTATATTTTTATAAAAATATTTAGTTTTTGAAAAAAATATTTGACTTTTGACTTCTGCTTTTTTTAGAAGTTAAAATTTTTAGCTTAAAATAAAGTAAGTTTTTGACTTTTTTTGTGACTTCTACTTTTTTTAAAAACAGATATTCAAACAAACTTAAAGTAAGAAGAACTTTTTTTTCTTAAAAAAAACAACTTTTGGCGAGAAAAAAACTCATCCAAACAGGCCCTTAACGTATTCTGCCAAAGGAACCTTGGTTGGAGATGGAAGAACAACTCAGCTTTGCAGATCCATACATTCGGTGCCGTTCCATTGATGGAATCTCCATCCGCACTCCTTTAAGACCTTTGCTTGTGTATTCTGAGATTCAAAAAGATTCTAAAAATCATTTGGAACTTTAAGATAACTATCTCAACACTGGGCCACCACCATGGTAAGGCAATTTTTATGGCTTTGCTACAAAAAGGCGGTTAAACCATAAGTTTAGTGAAGATAAATAGATGACTTGTTAATTATGCCTTTTCTTTTTATCATATCAAGACATGGAAATTGGTGTCAGGCTCTTGCTTAAAACCTATCCTGAATTTTGACGACTGAATTAGATTACCAATGGCCTCGACCAAAATTGGTTATGAGCTCCCTCCAAGAAGGAAAAGGGTCTGAGGCTCCTAATTATGTACATAGCATTAAATGTTAAGTAATATCTCAAAAATTATTGACAAAACAGAACACACTCCTCTGATTTCTTCTTTCCTTTTATTGCATGAAAAGAAAAGCTTCCGAATACTGCATGGACATAGAGAAACAAGTCATACAGGGACTTTGAAAACTCTGACCATTCATAATTTAAAACAAAAGTTTATTTATATATTCATAGATTAATTATCATGACATTTAAATTTAAACTAGACAAGTTCACAGATTTCACAGGAAGTTATTCATTTCACAGGTATTGGTATTGAGGGGGTGTTAATTAATGTAGCTATAGTTAGAGCACCGATGATATTACATTTTTAGAACAAGAACATAATAGGAAACTAATGAGGGTTGTATTTACAAATTAAATTATTTACAAACTCTTACAATCAAATCATAATCATTAGATTGACGAAAATCAATGGTTAAAATTTAATTATAAGAGTTTGTAAACAATTTAGTTAGTAAATATAACATTTCCCTAAAAAACTATAATAAAACGAAGGTATATATATGACAGCTATTTGCACACTTGACATGCATACATTCATGATTATGTTATTTATTGCTTGTTGCCTGAAGTGAGCTTTGGGGAGGAGAGATTCTCCAACAGCCCTTAATTTACTGAGATATATATGAATATCTCACCCCACATTTCGGGGTCCTTCTTTTCAAGTACTGATGGTGCAGGAGCATCTGTTGGCAGGAGCTGTAAAAACCTGCACACTAAATAATTAATTAAATAACATTATCGATCCCGGAGCATGGAGTTAATAAAGATTATGCATAACTATGGTAAAATAATTATCTAGAAGGTCCAATAATGCTTAAGTTTCTTTTATGATGAAAAATGCAGATACCGGTTCTGTTTCGGGGTATAAATGCGTACCAGAGAAGTATTCCGAAAAATTATGATAAAAATATAAATATTCTCAGAAAAATGTGTAGGTTAAGAATATCAAGTTTGGGGTAAAAAAATAAGCAGTGATGTCAGAACTAATATCGGTTATGTTACGGTGAAGTGTTTCGAAAAATTAATGTAAAAATATGATAATTTTAAAAAGAAAATTAGGTTAATAATATAGAATTTTAGAGTTAAGCGAAGAGAAAAACTAACTAAACTAATACTGTTTGTTTAAGTTAGTGCACCTAATTATATCTAATGATACAAAACCCTAGGTCAATTTTTCATGAATCCTAGCCAAGAAGCCACCTTTCTCTATTCTTATGCTATAGAATCATCATCAATCCTTGTAAAGCTTTAGTTTTGTTGGAGAAAAACCATTTATTAAGGTTTTGAATTTCTGTTTGCATAGAGTTAGGGGTTGTCCACTTGATTTTGAGTGTGAAAACCATTGTTACACTTTAGAGAGCTTCAAGAACCAAACTTTGTGAAGAAAGAACCTACCTTTGAGTATGATTTTCATGCACCACCAAGTCAGTAGCTTGGAGCATCTTCAAAGTCCTCAAAGTTTTCTTATTTTTCTGTTTTCAAAGGTTCATATGTAACTATAAATCATTTCCCTTGCACTTTCTTAAAAATGGCTTATTTTGTGAAGTAAAAAAGGGGAAACATTAATTATTCAAGTAAAAGATAGTATATCTATGTTTAATCATGTGGTTTGAACTTCTATTTGATGAAAAATCGGACCTTGGACCCTTGGAAGCCATGGAACCCGCAGATTATACAGAAAAATCTGCAGATTTCGTATTCTGTCCGCATGGTAATCGATTACCTTACACATGATAATCGATTACCGTGTAGGTTAATTGATTACCCTCTGCATGATAATCGATTACCCCTGTCAGAAAAGACCAGAAACCAATTCTGATGCGTAGGGAAACCCCAATTAGGGTATGATACCTTAGGGAATTAGTGTTACTGTTGGAAATGTAATACAAATAATAAAGATATTTAAAATGCTATAATTATGGCTTCAAGAAGGACTTGCGGTCATTAAACGAAAAAGAAAACGTTATCCAATTGCTATGAAATTCAAAATTCTGATTTTTAATAATATTCATGAAATAAACATATTGCAATTGTCGCACTATGTGACTGTTGGTGTATATATGTATACCGAGCCTTTGGATAGGGATTTTGGCA